GGTGCCAACTAGTGTTAGCACCTGGTGCCAACTACTGTTAGCACCAGGTGCCAACTAGTGTTAGCACCTGGTGCCAACTAGTGTTAGCACCAGGTGCCAACTACTGTTAGCACCAGGTGCCAACTAGTGTTAGCCTATCATACACCGGGTGCTTTCTGCCGTTAAATTTGCGTCTGATTTACATGCAAAGTTTAGGGGAGATGGTGTCCAGAGGTCCAGCTGAGCAATTAGAGAGTTCCAGGCTGAAGTTCAGTAAACTGAACTTTTGCCGCTGGACGCCGAAGCATCAACCAACCAGAAAAGCTGATCCAGGAGTTTGTTTGGCAGAGACAGACACTACCTGCAAGCTGTCATTACCTCTGCAGACATTCTGCATATGAAAAATTAATAAATATTAAGGAGTTACACTCCAAATGATAGAGTGGATTGTTATATCAAAGAAACAGAGAGCAGCTCTGATTATTATTGCTGCACTAAAACATTTTTTATGAACTATGGAGAAACGGTTTATAAATACCCAAACTAACTAGAAATGTTAAAACCTGCAGCATCAGTCTTTGCTTCTACTGATGCAAAGATTTTCTGCATTTGCTCATTAAATCTGCTGTAAAGTCACTGCTGCATGAACGGCTCCATTTCTCTGTTTTGACTGCAAAATCGATTCATTTCCAAATTATGTTTAACAGTTGAAGACTTTAAAGCAAAACAAGCCTTCAATCCAGTAAAGGGTGGAGTTAATTCAGGAGAACAGCTGGATTGAATCACCATCGCAATACTAAGGAGAGGGGTTCTTAAAGCGAGCAGCCTTCACCAGACTACACAGCCACAGGCAGTGAGAAAACCACAAGCAAACCCATTACTATAGAAACGAACGGGAACATTAGCATCTTTATCATGTTACCTTTTTCATGTTGGCTCCCACATAACTCTTTGCCTCCTCTTTGAACTGAGGCAGCCTGCAGAGAGAAACAGAGACCATCAACCAATGAGTCGCTTCATCCACCTGAACAAACCTGCTGCCTTTGAGGCCAAAGGCAAGAAAAGCTTCATAATCCACTCATTTTACATTCACAGCTTCTGATAAAACTCCTTCTTTCTCATCAGGTCTGCAGCGTATGACACAGCAGAAGGCCGAGTTCAGCTTTGAAAGCTTCTACAGTTTCACTAGATTTAATGAAAACTAAAATCTAATTCCATTTATAGGAATCAGGGTTGATCTAACTTTTCATAAAGCAGCTTTATATCCATCTTCAGATTTAGAATAATGCATCCGTTAGACCAGGGGCAGATTTAGGAAATTTGGGGCCCTAGGCAAAGACAGGCAGGGGCCCCTCTGAACTGAGAAGACAACACATAAAACAGATCCATTATAGAGATAGAGAGATTTTTATAGAGTAGGCATAGATTATTGGTTCTAGGTTTTGTCCCTCTTTTCCTGTTCTTTTT